ACTTAAAATGCAGAAAAGTTTATTTCAACAAAGACCGGCGCTGCAACGATCACTCCCCAGAATGAAAATAGCCACCATGTGTTTGGTCACGTGACCACGCTACGTCAGCATAACGACGTGTGTGACGTGCATTGTAGGCTACGTTAGTTTCCCTAATCACTTACTCAACTGATATCTGTGTAATAAAAACTGGAATTCCGCCGGTGGACGAGGGGGTTACTTATTCAGAAAAAGCACACAAACCCAGTAGCCCTAGTCATGAAACTAACTCGGTCGTTTCTGTGGTGAAATCGGGCTTATTGGTGAAGAAAATGCCGGAAAAATCCTGATTTTAAACCCACACAAGGTCGGTTGTTATTTTGCTCTAGCTGTCGAAAGGCGGGGAATACAAAGCGTATTGTGGCCAAATTTACTGCAGTCAAGCCAGCCTCCACTTCACAAAACACGGTCTAGCTAGCCCCCAATTTGTTTTTTGGTACGTACATGTACTAGGCATTACGGTAGGGGGCGTCTCAGAACCATAAACTGTCTATAAAGCTCAGAACTGATTTCAAAATAAAAGCGACCTTCCGCTGAACGACAATATTGAATTAATTAATTTGCATAATACCCACAACTGACAACTAAACAACTAAATAAAAATTTATAAATAGTACATAATAAATACAATTAATAGTAAATATCTAAGTAATCAAAGCTTTGTCATTACAATTGTCTGAATAATTAGTCAATCTTAATAATAAATACCAAACTGACAGAATTAATTGAAAAACTTGAAAAACAGAAAGATATTTAAACGAAACTACCCGTTTACTACCACAGACTAATCTTGCTTCAGAACGATAGCAGACAACCTCAGTGAGTCGCTGACAATATCAGTACTGTTTGATGTTGAATTTCAAAATAAAAGCAATATAAAATGTATGTACGTTTTTATATACAGTCTATAGTCGTATGGTAATAATAATATTACTTCAGTGGTGTTAACTATGAAATTCAACATTCAGACAATTGATACTGTCAGCGTGACACCGAGGTGGTCTGCTCTTATTCTGAAGTGAAATTAGTCCGTTGTAAACGGGACGTTTCAGTTACAAGCTGTCAGTTTTGTGCTTACAAGTCAGATTGGTCTTTGGAAATGTATTCTTTATTACCACGGTTAATTATTCACACAATTATAATGACAAAGATTAGATTTTCAAAGAGTCTAAATTGAATTGACAGTTAGTTGTTTATGTGTGGTTTTTATCCATTAATTCATTATGGACTAATAAATGTGGTCACTTTTAGCGGAAGGTCGCTTTTATTTTGAAATCGGTTGTCTGAGACACTCCTACCGTAACGCACGGTATATGCGCGCACGTCAAAACAACGTGGGGGCTAGCTTGGCCGTGTTTTTCGTAGTGGAGGCTGGCTTGATCGCAGTCCAAATTCAATACATTTTGGACTCACTAGAGCAAAAACGGGATTACCTCAAAGCCAGTTCGTGCTGCTGTGACTGGTCAGCGATAGTACATGGATTATCTGGTAAGTAAATTACTCGAAATGCTGTGTTTTCCGTATTCCAATCAAAGACTTCTTCTGACGTTTGGTTTCATGCCAGTTGGGCTCCTAATCAGATAGTGATGGCACCCAGGTGTGTGGCTACCAACTATTAGATGTAGTACCGGTTGTTGTTTCATGCCAAGGTGTCAGCTGTAGCCTGTGGCTTTTTTTCAGTGTTGTGCGAACAGGGTCTAAAAGGTTGACCCAGACTCCGATCTATTTTCACGATAACTAGCCCACTTGCTACACCTTTTGAAGTACTATTAGTTAACGTTATGCAATATGTAAGGTAATGTGGAATAAGGGTGTTATTTCCCACAAAACCCACTGTTGCTACCGAGGATAAAGCTGCACTGTGAGTTGCATTAGGCTACTTGGAGTCAAGATGTCATTGGGAGTGAGGCTCTATAACTGCACTGGTGTGAGATGTTAGTACCCTGCATATTTGTAATACCTGTGACCAAAAGAATTATTACAGTCCAGGCCACTGTGCCAACTTTAGCCCCGGAGATTATGGTTTTTGGGCCTTTGCCCACATTGTAAAGGTTGGGATGGGTGCTGCTGAAAAAGTGCAACAATAGAGAGGAAGCTGTAACTAAAAGCTTTCCCTGGGAATTTATAAAGCTAATAGGACAAAGAGTACCCAGACATTGTGCTGTCATCTCACATGGGGGACTTAGTGACGTTGTGAAACGCTGAGGAACTTGCCCACCCAGTGTTATCAGCTTGTTTATAATGGCCCTCCCAAGATGTGGTTGCTGAAAGGAACTTTGAACTTCTGCTTCATTGAGACGTCAAGATTACAAAGTCCTATCAGGGAACTGGCACCAGAACAGCTGTGTTATAGATAATGCAGACTGACTAATATAAAGCTTCTGTGCGGCCTCTGGCGTTGGAGTAACACATCTTGTGGGGGAAAAATAGGGAACAAAGTGGTTTACATAGTTTACACGATTATTCTGTAATCCTCAGTTACATGTTAATGGAGCGTTGTTGGTACAAACGGTAAACACGAGGTATTGTTGTCTAAGAGAGCACACTCCTGACATGACATGATAGAAACTGATTTCATTGCCTGTATATTTTGTTCAGTTTTTACCGTGTTTAATGTTTGTGTGCATACTGGGAGGAAACAAAATTCATTCCTTGAACATTTAAGATTTTCTTTGACAAACCGTTTTCTGCGGAAAGCACAGCTGTAACTCTGTGGACTGTTGGAGCCGAGTGCTTGGCTGTCCATGGAGGTCAGGCACTCGATAGGCGCAGGGCCCCCTTTCCTGCTGTGGAACACTGGAGACCTGGCACAAAACCCATTACATTACATTTACTCATTTGGCAGACGCTTTTATCCAAAGCGACTTAGATTTGAGGAACAACATGCAATCAACCCAGGACAAAACTATATCTCTCTCCTATTAATCAATAGGAACTTATCACTAAACCGTTTGATAAGTTATGCTAATCCTGTGTCCTGATCATGCTGTTAGGTATGGTTTTAGATCAGGTTAGGCGTAAAAGGGTATTTGGGATGAACAGGAATGGAAGCACAAGATTATTGCACATAGCTGGTTTGAAAAAATACCACTGTAGCAGAGGTCTGGCCTATGGTGGATTATGTTTCAACTGGGAGCTGGAGCATGTTAAAGGACTGTGCTGCTGTGTGGTCAGCGTAGTGTTAAAAAAGACGACACAAAAGTGTAGCACAGACTGAGGAATTTGGTGCTAGCTGTTGCCATGATACAACCATACCAAATTACAAGTGCACCATGTGGCCATCTCTTGGACCCTAAGTTGTTGTAGACCTCACCAGACGGGACACGTTGAACGTGTTATGAGTGACATCAATGAGAGGGAACTTTGTATGTGAGAGAACCAAACTATGGCTGGATTGATCACTTCTAAAACTCTACAAGAACATATAGTGTTATTCTTCTGAGAGTTTAATGTAGCAGACCTTTTTCTTTTTCTATTGACACACTGTATGCTTGCATGGTCAAAATTATTCTTCTGCTAATCTGCTGCATTATTTGTGATTGTTAATTGCTTTAGGCAAATGCACAGCCTGCAGGATGTTTCTCCAGTCTTACACAACATTTGCCTTTTTATTGAAGGGATGACCAGCTATTTATTTCTGCTACTCAAGAGTGACTAAACCCTCAGGTGGACTGGCGTCCAAGTCATCTTTTTCAGCTCTGCCCTGATGGAAGCCAGATCTATAGCCATTTATTTTATCTGGTGTAAAACAACCAGTCTGGTTTTTGTGGAATTTAAATTACGCCAAAGATTCAGTGATGAACCAAACGGTAATGATGGGTGAGACGGGTAAGTGACGACAGCCTCCTCTGATAATGGGCCGGCCCAGACCTCTGCTCATCCAGCTCATGTTCAGACAGAATAAATGGGAGAAACATTTAGGAAAAAAGAGCAAAAGGCAACTAAATATATAATTGTCTCATGATTTGAAGTCAGTAATAACAAAGTATTTTGTTTTAATTGATTTTGGATGCCTTTGCGTTGCTAAACTCTGTTGTGTTTTGGTGTCCGCATTAAAAACGAACCCTTTTGACATCCGCTCCCCTGTTGTGAACTAAAGCATTTTCTTTTCTGTATTAGTGCTGCACAATCATTTGAAATATTATCAAAATCACAATATGGGCAAGTGCAATTTCCAATTCCTACAATTGTTTGACTAATGGAAAATGTGTGACAAAACAGCATTATAATGAAGTATTGTAGTGCTGCGGGGATGACTACAGATCTTGTTCTCCAGAAAACACGTTTGTTTGAGTCATTAAGTCATAATATCTTTCAAAATAATCAATATGATTTTTTTTTTTATCCCATATTGTGCAGCTCTATTCTAGATGATACATAATTTAGCCACATTATGCAAAGACTCACACTATTTTAATTGGATTTCAATTGCAGTTGAATTTCAGTTGCAGTTCATTT